ATATTCTGGGAACAGACTATTGTGAATGATTTACACGAGTTATTAGTGAAACTGTGGGAGCAGGACACTGTTCAAACCGACTGGAGGCGCTGTTATTTTCCCGATCTCCAAGGGAGGTTCACGGTCGGAATGAAGTAATCATGGAGGAATCAGTCGGAGCTCCATCGCCTGCAAGTTACTTTCCTCTGTCATCCTTCACAGATTTACTGGCACCTGTGAAAGCCAGACTCGTGAGCAGTGTAAGTGATAGTGGATGAAATATTGCACTTTATAAGCCTAGTCCCAAGCACGAGTTGATTCCCAGGACAAAAGGAGCAAAATTCGATGTAACGGGAATTGTGAGCGTGGTTCTATAACAGTAAATTTAAATGTATGTAAATGACTAGGTTTGTAGACGTTGCCTCAATGTTGCTCAGTAGTGAACCGAATAATCCCAGCAGTCTGTGTTCCTATTCAACGGTAACCGGGGTGCAGCGGTGAGGTTGACAGCATCGTCCAGCGCGTCAACGGTGAAGTACGTGATTATGAGCCATTAGGACTGTGCTTCATTTAACCACAGTGATGCGAATAAACAAATGTCACGCTCGTGCTTTATAATCTTCGTGGTTGTGCACAAAGGGCATAGCAAGGCAATAAAATATGTACGTGTGCTTACGAGTAGGGAAATAGGTAAAAATTACACGTTTGCAATTTGTGAATTTGTTATTCACAATGAACAAGCCGGGTTTCGTCGAGTTCGGGACTGCATCGATCAGATCCTTGGAGTACCGTCACATATATTGACGGTCCACCACAGTTGTGTTCCTCAATATCAGCAACGCTTTCGATTCGCTGAATCAATATGTTCCTGTGGAACTGTCTGCTGAGGAGAGGTGTGCCCTAAAATTATGTAACTATTATCAGAGTGCTTCATGTGCGTACTTTAGGCAGTGAGGGCTAACCGCAAGCTGTCTCCGCCTTTCATTGTCTCCAGCGGTTTAAGAAAGAGATGCCCTCTGTTAACTTTCCTCTTTAGCCTACCCATTGTCAAAGTCATGGAAATCGTGTTTCATTTGACAGGATTTAGGAGTTGTGGATCTGCTCTCACGTGAACGGTTTCCTTACTATAGTGTGCTGACGACCTTGACCTCATCTGGCTGAGACGCTTAAAGAACAACCTCGTTCACTTCTACAATATTATAAACCGGCGAATTTACGCAGACAGCACCGCACTTGAACTACGGAAGACTGCAGTCTACACCACACGTAATGGCGGCTACTTGATACGCACAAACCTTTCGTCATAAAACTCGGTCGAATTTCTTCTTAGTGAGATACACTGATTTGTGGAACAAACTACCCCTACAGATACGCATGTGTACAAGCCATGTCACGTTTCGAAATCTCCTTCAGACCTTCCTCACTATACCAAATGCTCTGAAGATATTTGACTCACAGCAAACACTAGAAACATTGACAGAAGCTGGTATAAAAAACATATGAGCAGAAATTCGCTTACATACAATACCAAATCCTGTGTCTTTGCAGCCTATTAGTCCCTCACTTTATTATCTACTCCTGATGATACAAACATCCGTAAATTTTACATATATGGTGCACGGGTCTAGGACCCAAGGAAAAAAAATCATGATCCGAAATTCTATTAATCAACTTTTCTTTACTATTATGAAACGTATTCACTATACAAATGATCGCTCCCACTTATGGGGCCGTGTACCGTCTGTCGGTAAATATACAAACTTATTTTAGTTTAGTTTACAAACGTCTCAAGCAGCACTAAACAGGTTAGCACTCATCATTATTATACACGTCAGCTATAGGTGGGAAACACCTCAGCTACTGTGCCGCAATACATAAAGGAAGAGGAAAATAAATACAACAGTTGCATGCCAGCTGAGGTACCAGCAACGGATGGGCATCGTTCCGGTAAGCTACCAGCCGGCTACTAGGCAAAAAGAAAAATTATTATGTTTTGCGCTATGAAACAAGATCGTAGGTGGAGGGAGAGGCTAAAAGGGATGGGGAGGGACAAAGAAACTCACAGCCCAAACGCCACTGAGGTCGGCTCCTTGCCATGTCAGCAAGTGTATCCAGCCAAACGTGTTCACCGTCTTTTGGACCCCAACCAGGGAGCCGTGACGCTCCAACTGAGGCCAACACAGAAGTGAGGGCTTTCATTCCTCTGGACCAAGTCATCACTTGGCCACCCCTCCTCTTCTTCCATCCACATCCCCGGTGAGCAAACAACGCACGTCGTGGAAGTCGGTGGGCTGACATGCGCAACACGCGGCCAAGCCATCGGAGCCTGGTGCGTGAAATGACGGTGCTGAGCGGTTCAGATCCTTTTTCTGTGCCATAAACGAGGCGTCGAACACGCGCGTTGCTCATGCGGTGTTCCCACCAAGTGTGAGCCAAACTGCGAAGGCACCGATGGTCGAACGTAACTAGCCTCTTTATATCCGCCGATCTTAGGGGCCAGGTTAAATAGGTTAGCACTAGCTATCAACGATTTCGGGCTTTGTTTTGCACCGTGAGCGTGCGAACCTTTCCTCCTGCACTGATCGTTGTGGATCAGCTGGAAGTCATCCAGATATTCAAGTACCTAGGCAGTTTTGTCAGCGCCGGTTGAATCGAAGAAGAGGTCACGATCCGTAATTCAAAGCTCAGGGCGCTTTTGCCAACCTTCGCCACCTATGGCGCCAGCGTTACATCACTCATGCTGAAGGACAGCGTTTACAATACAGCCGTTTCTTCAACCCCATTGTACGGTTGGGAAACCTGGCCCATTAGATGGCAGACGTAAATAGGCTAGTTGCGTTGGACCATCGGTGCCTTCGCAGTTTGGCTCATATCTGTTTAGAGCACCATGTGCGCAATGAGCGTGTTCGGCGTCGTGTATTTGGTGCAGTAAGAATGAGTAAACCGCTCAGCACCGTTATTTCACGAACTAGTCTTTTCCGGCTGGATCATGAGTTGTGTGTGTCAGTGCACTGGCTACTGCGACGTGCATTGTTTGCGGAAGGGAGGCGAACGGGCTATCAGGTCAGGAGGAATGAAGGTTCTGAATTAGATGTTGGCCTCGGCTGTCTGCTTAGGGCCCGGAAATTGGTGAAACCTTTGATTGGATACACTTGTTGACATAACAAGGAGCCGACCTCATTGGCGTCTGTGTTCTAATTCTTCCTTCCCTCTTTTTCTCGCTTAGCCTCTCCCTCCATCCACGATCTCAGTTCCGACGCATAATATAACTTCTTTTCTTGCTGCACAATATTCGACTGCTTACTCTCCGGAACGATGTCCATCTGTTACTGTTAGCTGAGCTGGCGTACCTGTGTTACGTCAATATTTTTCTTTCTCTTTTATTGCTGCGCACTAGCTGAAGGGTTTTTCACCCCTGGCTAAGGTGTATACTTATGATGATGTTTCCGGAAAGTCCTTACTGCATCCATCGGCTTTTTGATTTGGAAACAAATCACCATTGTGCGACATGTTTCCATCAGTTTCATTCGTTTCTCAATTGTTCCCTGACTGTATCAAGTCAAGTCAGTACAAGCTTGATATACCCAAATGGATGCATTTTCAGCACTTTACATTGTCAACAGTAAGTACATCAGAGGGTTACCGACAAAAATATTGAGTTTTTAAATGAGTAGAAAAATGAGAAGAGTGCATTGTCATCATTCGAGTTATGATCGATCAAGCGACGGTTACATAATGCTGAACTAAAGCTTCAGGGTTTGCATCCAGTCAAAAAGGGAACAGGTTTTGTTGAAATCTTTCTTCATACTTCGTTTCAGTTGAGGTGAAATTTTGTGTCCAAATGCGACAGATTGGCGATCATGCGCAAGCTCTCTACGTTTATTTTCAAGCCATGGATAGAGTAGCTTGGTCGCAGTGACCTTGCAAGTTGAATTGAACAAAACAGTTGCTCATGTAAGATATGGTGTTCGCCGAAAAGGCACCGGCTGATTTAAAGGCCTTGTAACTATGCTAGGTCACCTTATTCATGCTCCAGCTGTATGTTTCCCGTTTTGTTCTATAATCTGTTCTTTTCATTGGGATTGATCCCAGGAGCTAGCCTACTAAACTCCATAGCCTTGTCGAAGTACTTGGGTATCGTACGTGTTCGCCTTTCTTTTTGTATGTGTTAGCGCTCCCAACGCTCCTCAACCTAACTGCTGGCAACTTTGCTGGAACATATGCTACTACTACTACTACGACGACGACAACCACTACGACTACGACTATTCATACTACTACTACTACTCCGAGTACCTACTATGACACTTACTCAGAATAGGCGTCATTCTGGCTATGCAAATGTTGTACCGCCTGGACACGTCCGAATTGGTATTTGTTGCTCATTTTCTTTAACTGCGTGCTTCTGCCTGGTTAATGGTATCATTTTATCATGAATTTTTTATGGTTTCCGTCACTTCTACAAACTAAATCTTGTACTGTCAGCACTTTATATTTTACTCAGTTTACGAATACACAGGGAACCTGTCAGTTGATTTTTAGATACACGTTTAGGTCTGCGTGGTTTGCCTGATGAACCGTTTTTGTACGGTACTCACCGTGTGATAAACCTATTAACTGTCATGATCTCCAATCGGGAATTGCATACTTTAACCCGCCTAGTAACGTTATCTGTCGCTCACGGAAAAATGTAGGATGTTCACGTCTTCCACGGGATGTCGTCTGTGGCAGGAAACCAGAAGTGATCACATGCGCGCTCTGCACTGAGCACACGAGCTCACTTTCCCGCTTCAGCCACCTCTTTTCACAAAATTTGGCTGTTAATAGGTTAAGTCTTGCATTTTTCCGGACGCCTTTGTTCTCACATGAAAAGCTTCCGGCTCTTTCAGCTGACTGCTATTTGAGACGCCCCTGTACATGTTCACTTTTACTTTAGTGACGCCTCATGTGAACACAAATGCTTTGTGGACATGTCCTCATTCAGGCATCGTAATCACTCCCATCACATTTGTTTCTTCCAGAAACCACGCTTCCCATCTACCTCTGACCGCCTTTCACCGGATGAACTTGCATCGCCCATGGGTTTGTCTTCATCCATTCCACGACGGAGTTTCACAGAGAGCGCAGAGTCTTCATCCACTTCCTTAGTGCCACCTGCCTCAGTCGCTTCTGGTACTATGTCTTGGTATGCTTGGTGGCGCTACTCATCACTTTTGGGTATCCGTTCATTTTGGTACGGGTCGGAGCCGGACGCTATCCAACCCGTTAGCGAGTCACTTGGCAAGAACAAGTCGGATGAAGCCCGTCCCTCCCTCCGAGATGCTGTCTTCGAACTGTTGGATGAGCTGGCGATTACGTCAGACAAGTGGGATCCTAGTGGTCCCCCGGACTTTGCCAATCCTTCAGATGTGGAGACTAATGTTGTTTTCAAGGTGACCTGTCGAGTGGATGGATGCAGTTTTCGCCTTACGGACGACGATACTTCTGTTACGGGACCGGGCGGCTATATTGTAAGTGAAAATTGCTTCTGGTCTCCAACCTCACTGTATGTGGAATCGTCTGTGGTTTATGCTACGTATTCGTTTCCAAGGGCACACAGTTTCCGCCATTCCGTAAGGCTATATTGCATTGCGAACATCATTAGCATCCAAAACCTCTGGTAATTTACACTCTAAGCTTCTGCACAACTTCGTTTATACGAGCGAAAGTACCAGCTTGCGCACAAGACATGTGGACGACAGAGCGAACAACCCTTCTCTATTGCCCATTGATTCGCAAATGGCCACTCCGTGAGCGTTAGTACTGTGTTGAACAGGTGCTCCGCATATGTCTATGGAAATATGTTTGTTTCGTGTTCTGACAGGTCCTGGTGTCAGAATTGGTTACATAGGTTCGACTTAAACGTTCTATTTACCTAGCTGATTCAGCATTTATCCATCAGTCTTGGATCACGAGTCAAACCTTATTTATCGTCGTCCGTTCTCTCACCTAACCTGTAATATTTTATTCATCATTTAACTGACACTATCACTTAAGTATGCACCTCGCTGTATGCAGCAAAGCAGTTGCTTACGACACTGAATCTGTCATAATTGCAGAAAACTTGTAGATTGTCAGCCAGCACATCTGGCATGACCTTTTGTACTTGTCTTAATTAACACTAATTGCGTGTTTATGGCCACACTAAATCCACTGATTACTAGTGCCACCTACAACTTATCTTTCGGTGTTATTACTTTTACTGACATCGTCATCACTACTTCTGGCATGGATTTTCTAGCTGAATCCAGTTTGTCCTCTGTTTTGTCAGATCTTTTCACTCCAGCGCTACTCACATGCTTAAAAGTCTGCGCGTTTTAATCTGTCCAGTTTGTTTCCCTGTGACCAACCACAAAAACGTACTCCCCAGTTGGCACATTCTTTCATCTTGAAGGCGCATGTTGATCAGCCCGTGGCCAAATGGACAAAGCGTCTGGCTTGCAATCCACAGATGATCGAGCCTGCGTAGATTCACGCTACCGCGTGTGGTCCCCGTGCATGTGCAGCCGCTTGTGATCGGGTGGCAGTGGCGTACCTTTTCCCTCATCTAATGGTGCATGCTGAGTTGTCATCTCTGCGCTCATCGCACGGTTGTTTCTGATGGATGCACGCTTCCCCATTGCTCTTATATGTCGGTGTTTACAAAATCTTTGTTCAAGTCTTGTGAGTCCGCACACTTGGAGGCAACATGCCTGTCTCCCCAAGTATCTAATAAAGCGAATGAAATTTTAGCAGTGTGCTTATTACTTGCGGCACATGCTTATTGTTATTTGAACTTTCTAAACACGGATATCTCGATTAACTTATTTCCCAGGTCAACTTTGAACATTCCCTCTTAAGTATGTCTTGCTTGTTATTCACACGAAAGCTTTTTGTTCGGTTCAGTTCCGTTTACCAACTGTTATCCGGGAACCTAATTGCGGTGGATCCAGTAACCACGACTCAAATCGCCAGCGCAACACATAGCAACTACGAGAAAATGCGGTAGGACGCAAACAGACTACCATGAAAAGAAAATTACGAGTGAAGTGTGCAAAACTGCAGGGAAATCAATGGCTAAATATAGAAACGAATCTAAGAACGCCACTGACAGCGTGACTGCGCCTTGTCTGGTACCCTTCTCTAACCATTGGTATGCACCATCCCGGGGTCCCCATCCACGAAGATTGCATGCACCAGCCTGACCAAGTCCTTCAGTCGATTTTCTCATGACTTTATGCGACGTCATTGACTGCCTACCTCGCGGTTTCGTCAAAAGTTTTGAAATGACGGCATATAATACACACTGAGGAAGCCGGTCCTCGGGTATACAGAAGGTGTGGCTTAGGCTGCGTGCGCGGTTGGGCTTTAGCAAACACTCCAGTGAGACACCAGATGGTTTCTTGCCTAACACAAGCTGGAGGACCGCAACCTTGTTCATCCCGTATTGATGCATGTCTTTTGGTATTCTCATCACCATGGACTAGTAACCATACAGCCTCGCCTTTCCCCTTTGTGTTGGTTGGCTTCGAGATGATCAAATTTACCACTCACAAGCCTCTAATTCTATCCGCGTAGACGTGAGCCACTGGTATACTTTTTGCGGATTCTCTTCCTGGGGTTTTTCGCAATCACAATAATGCATGAAATTGATTGCGGATAAAGTCAGCCATTTTGAACCGACCTGTACTGAGGTTCCTTTGGAATTCTCATACTAGCTGATCATATCGGGTTTTGAAAGCATTCACCTTGTATTTACCATTTCATAGCAAGTTCATGTAATCCTTCGTACGGGATGAAAACGTTTGATCGCTTCAATGCTTATTTTGGCTTCCAGCGTTCGGCCTTCGTATCCATATCCGGTCAGCGTATGGTGTTCACTTTGGAGGCTGAACCTTGGCGCCGTTCAGCCCACTTTGCCGCTAGTGTAGAGTCGTTCACCGTACGCGACGAGCGCCACAGTCGCATGAGCTCACACATGACCGAGGTCAGTGGCACAACTGCTCCTTGGTGCTCGCGCTCAGTCTTCCCATTTGTTGTTTTCCCTCGAGTCGTGGTCCCTAAATCACCGCATTTCGCCGCCGCACCTATGGTGACGCGACCGACTTCGGCCCAGTCTTCGGGGTCAACAATTAGCGGACTTTTTTGGTTGGTGTACGAGATACTTCCGTCCGATGCTGATTTTGATTTCAGGTACGTCTCCCGTTGCGTTTTGTGCCACTTAGAATCTTTTGTTACTTTACGGACTAATTTTTTTGGGATCATATCTTTCTTTTCCATCTCTCTGGGTATTGGTCCATTTATGTATTAGAGTCAATTCCGAACAAGCAGCTGAAGTGAAATGAATGTACCTTTTCTTACCACCGATAATACACTATCCAGTGTTTAAGGTGCCTCGAATACGCCGCCATTCACGTGGTACAGGCACTTCTGTCTTTCAACCTTGTGAGCAGCTGAAATCATTTAGTCCCATGAGTCTTATACCAACGTGATCGCTTTGGTAGCTTAATGTGGGCGTCTTTGCATTCTAAATCCATCATGTTCTCTGCGCAATCGTCTTGTCTGTACAACAGGGGACGGGCTGCACTATGTCTCATCCGTTCCCACAGTCATTCCAGCCGCTTTTCTGACGAATTCAAATAAAATTCACTATGCCTTGTCACTTCTCCGCATTTTCTATATCAATTCCAATTTCGACTTCGCCTCAGACGACGGTTGACGAGTTACCTCTAGTACGATATCCGAGCGTTTCTATTCATTGCTGCAGTTTTCGTTACATTGTTATACTGAAAGCGCCTTTCCTCCATGGAACCGACCGTCGTTCCGTTATCATCCTCGTGCAGGTGGATGTAACGTATCCACCCCCACGCGTTAACCTCCCGTTTCCTACACCTGGTATCCAGATCGCCCGTTTTGATGTGGCCCAGGGGAACTAAGCAGACAGCCGAGGCCAACATCTAACTCAGAACCTTCATTCCTCCTGACCTGATAGCCCGTTCGCCTCCCTTTCGCAAACAATGCACGTCGCAGGAGTCACATACAACTCATGACACAGCCGGCAGAGACTAGTTCGTGAAATAACGGTGCTGAGAGGTTTACTCGTTCTTACTGCACCAAATACACGACGCCGAACACGCTCATTGCGCACGTGGTGCTCTAAACAAATATGAGCCAAATTGCGAAGGCACCGATGGTCCAACGCAACTAGCCTATTTACGTCTGCCATCTAATGGGCCAGGTTTCCCAACCGTACAATGGGGTTGAAGGAACGGCTGCACTGTAAACGCTGTCCTTCAGCATGAGTGATGTAACGCTGGCGCCATAGATGGCGAAGGTTGGCAAAAGCGCCCTGAGCTTTGAAATACGGTTCGTGACCTCTTCTTCGATTCAACCGGCACTGACAAAACTGCCTAAGTACTTGAATATCTGGACGACTTCCAGCTGATCCACAACGATCAGTGCAGGAGGAAAGGTTCGCACTCTCACGGTACAAAACAAAGCCCGAAATCCTTGATAGCTAGTGCTAACCTGTTTAACCTGGCCCCTAAGATCGGCGGACACAAAGTGGCTAGCTACATTCGACCACCGGTGCCTTCGCAGTTTGGCTCACATCTGGTGGGAACATCGGGTGAGTAACGAGCGTGTTCGACGCCTCGTTCACGGCACAGAAAAAGGAACTGGAGAGGTAATCTAAAGACGAGAGGAGATGGACAAAAATACTCACAACACAAACACCATTGACTCTGGCTCTTCGCCATATCAGCAGGTGTATCCAACCAAACGCATTCATCCTCCTTATGACCCCAGCCCGGAAATTAGGATAGACCAACTGATGCGAGGTTCGAATTCAGGGTTTTCATTCCTCTTCGTCATCGCTTTGCCTCTCCTCCTCCCCTAACATCCAGACCTCGGGCACGCAAACAACGCACGATGAGTGAGTCGGTATGCTGGCATGCGCAACATCACACCATCGGAGTCTGGTACATGGTATAACGGTGCTGACCGGTTCACTCACTCTTTCTGCACCAAATACACGACGCCGAACACGCTGATTGCTCACGCGATGTTCCCAAATAGACATGAGCTAAGCTGGGAAGGCAGTAACGGTTGAACATAGGTAGCCTATTTAAGTCTGTCGACTGTATGGGGCAGGTGGCCCCGGTTCGCGCGTGTCACAGTAGCACTTTAACAGTTAAGAGGTCGATGAGTTTTGCTTCCTGTTAGCCTTACCCTCTTTTTCCACTCCGGCACTTTCCCCTCTTCCGTGTTTTCTTAGCTATTTCGCTTACATCAGCCACTTACTAGGCGGTTGAGCATCCAGCCATCTACGAGATATTTGTTTTGCGCTGCAGCTCCTAAGGGACTAGTACGGCCCGCCGTACTATATGGACTTGGAAGAGCTTGGAACGCCGGACCGGAGGAAAATTACACGGGTTTCATAACCGTTCAACAGAGTTAGACTGCTACATTGGAAACCCTGCGCTTCTATGGGTGCATGATGTCGTGAATCGCTCCTGTCTTTTCTGTGGCTGCCCGAACTTACAGTGCTGAAAGTATCTAGGAGCTGTATCTAAGCGAAATGTCCGAATGCAACGTCGGTGGATGGCTACGTAATTTTATGATTCTGAACTTGACTCTCCACTTGTTACAGCTTTATCGCGCTCATTATTTGGCCGTTGACTCGATCTTACTTAGTTTATTTAATAAGGGTTGCTATTCCATTTCTGGTGGCGACTTAGGATGTGCTCACTTTGACGTATGAAGAACGGTCACAAATATACCTACTAAGCTGCCCAACTACAGTTGAAGATCTCCCGCGATATCGATTGCTGAAAGCCGCGTGCTGCAAACGAATGGCTGTTTCCTCCTATTAGTGTTCGCTCACCACTTACTAGCTTTACGTCTGACACATCGAACGTCAACATGCCGGACTTGGCTCGCGACCACCTTGTCCTCAATGGAGCACTTGCCTAATTTACAAATATACCTTCATACTCACCGATAGTTATCATCACGCACCTTGCTACTAACGTGAAAGTGCCTCTTCTGCTCCTCTCTTTCAGTCATACTTGCGAGTTTTAAAACACACAAATTTCACGTGTCAAATGTGTAAGGTTGCGACACAGTGCTGTCAACTCAACCGTACTAGACTTAGCCTCCACAGAACTCCAACGAAGAACTAGTTATTGATCTCGTTTTTCTCCCAACGTAGCTCACAGAAAAGAAACACTACTCACTTTTTAGGCGGATAAATCTTTCGGCGATGATAATCCGTTTTCGATAACGCCTACGCTTTTCCTCTGACGTTCCAACTGTTTCTGAGTGTCCAACCGATCTGCCAGGACTCTTGAAGTCGTCCCTGTTAGTTAAATATGAATATTTGACCAGAGGCGTAGTTGCAGTTTTTTTGCTGCATCTATGTCGTTTTATTCTTTACGTCTCACACCTTAATCCTTAGTTTCTTTTACACTTTATCTATGCACCTTATATTTATTGATACAATCGGTAATCGTTTTTACCTCACTTTTTACGGGAATTCACCCTTACTTCGTTAGCTACTTCACAGAATTAACGGTCTTTTCTTGAGGCGTCGTTCCACTAATGTCGTTCAATTCAGATTGTTTAACAATGTTTGCGCATTTCAGGAAGTGGCAATTGCATTTTTTCATGTATCTGCTCCTCTGCTGTAGATATGCGTTTCGCTAGTGCTTTGAGCTAATACGAGACAGCCTATTTCACTTCATAATCTCTAGGAATGTCGACCCTCGACAAACCTTTTTACGTGTTCAGAGATGTAGACATCACTTGGCGCCGAGTCCGAACCATGAGGAAGACGCTGTAAAACCTTTCAGCCAATTTCCCATAGTGTTTACATTGTATGTTAAGCTGTACGCATTTTCACATTGTCATGCAGAAACAGAGCACCGCTTCTAATCTTACTAGTTATTTATTCACGTCATGCAGATAACAACAGTATTGTTCACTTGCTAGTAGCTCCATGTGGTAAAAAAAAGCACATGAACAATCCCAAGTTTGTCCAAGAAAATGCTCGTAATTAATTTACCTACTGATACGATTGTTCGGGATTTCTTTGCTGGTATTGGGGCCATACGCTTCCGCCACTTCGAAGCTCTTTTCGAGTCTTGAGTGAAATTTCGAACTCATATTTCCTCATATGTGGTTATACTATCCAGGAAATGCTGAGCTTCCATGTCATAACAGTCCTTCGATTCAGTGCAGAATTCAACTCACCTGTGGCCGTAAAAAGCGGAAGGCGCTTACTTTTCGTGGTAGCAAACGATGTTGAATTATTGCGTTTACTGTTCCCAGCGGTAACCTAAACACGTTCGAAATTTCACAGCAGGCTGTACGACGATTATCCTTTCTAAGCTATTTAACGCATTAAATTTTCCAACTGTGACAGTTGTGGGCTGGAATCCATCTCACCCGAGATCGTCGGTGACAGAGGTTTGAGCATGTTTGAAGTACTTACAGTATGCAAATGTTTTACTGTGACCATCCTACTGTGGCCGAAGTTTTCTGTCAATTTCAGCCGCTTCATTGGAGATTCCATCTTAATACCCCTCTCCCTGTGTATGGGGTCACATTGTTGTCCACCATTTCGTATTTATATTGAATAGTGAACGAGCATATTGCCTCCTGTCAGTAGTGGCCGTTAGCTTTTTCGCCGAACCTCATTTTTTGCATTATCTACTGTGGATATATCACTTTTGTAAGAATAAGCTGGCAGACTTTTGTTAACTCAACGTCCAAGGTCACTGAGACTAATGTACTCTGTCCATCTTTTGAATATTAACGCTGAGATATCGCGCACGATCCCCGACCTATCATCTTTGAACACAAAATTTCGCGTTATCTGTAACAACTTATGATGAAACGTTTTATGGTACTTTGCTTTTTTGAATGGACGTAAACCCCCAAGATATAGTGCAGCGTTACACAATTGTTGCTTGCTTGGTTTCTGACTACACCGTTATCACTTTTTTCCCCTCTGGATTTTTGATGGTGCCCGTTTAGAAAATGCTGAAAATGCACCTATTTGGGTGTATACAGCTTATGTTAACTTTACTTGACTAGTTGCCAGCTCCTACTACGTGTACTCTTTCTGCCTTGGGACCAGATTTGGGCCCCGAACAAAGCGCTGGATTGACTTGAACGACTCATGTGCCGTTATCTGGACCAGGCTACCCGCAGCTTTGCGGTGTTGCACAACTACGCGATGTTTTCTTTCTAGTGCGCGCCCCCGAACATTCTCAATCTTCACTAGTCACAATGCGCCTTTTTTCGCTTTTTACCGGTTCTCTCTGCCATTTTCTTGCAGCCTAGAAATTAAGACGGATCCTCTCCACGTCGTATATCAACCGGAGTTGATCAAATGTGTACTAGATTTCACCCATGCGGTATTGTCAGCTGCCTCTCCTGGGCTTGAATGTGAGTTGTTTGTCTACCCATATCGTGATTTATGCATATTTAACCCTCAACGCATTGCACCTTAACGTCCATTTGATGCGTTTTTCTTGCCTTCATAATGTCAAATAAATGCTTCTTTCATTTCTCCATGGGTTGTTTTTGTGCCATTTTTTACACACATTCATCCATCAGCTCCATCATCGCCACGCATTATGTTCCACCCACTTAGCCTCCGCTCGCCAGCAGTACCAGTCCATCAAGGAGCGTACGCAAGCCAACATCCGGGCATTTCTGGACGACACAAAGCAGTCTTCATCCTCTGCTGGCACGCCAGAACGAAGCGCTACGCGCTGTTCCTCGCCGTCTTGGCTGTTGTCTTCCGCCATGCCGCCGTCACAACGGAAGCCACGTCGCTGGAAACTGAACCTAGACATCTCCGCTCCACGCTTGCTTTTACCCGACTACAATGTCCACTTCGCAGCCTGCTCGTCTAATGAATCATCACATCCTTCCATCAATGGCTTGCTTTGCAATTTTGGTCGACTAAGGATTCACAATTGGCCCGTAGACGATTCCTTTCAGAAACCTGGGGAGTTGAAGGAACCTGATCGCAGCACGGTTTGTTACATTTTTAAGCGCTACCTTCTTTATTATATCTCCGTCGACAGTCTTGTTCAATGAGTCTACGCTTTACACATCTTTAAGCCCATTACGTTTCACAGACTATCTTAACGTTCGCATGTTTGGTAAGGGCTTTTCTATGCCTGGAATCCTTTCCGAAGCACGGGTACTGTTATTGGGCTACGATGCGCGGTCTAAAGCTGGACCACAATTCACTTTGCAGAAGTTTTGGCCGACATCCCAGGGATGTCTTGGGTTCGAGTTGTGGTACCCCGGCCGTGGCGTGTGCAGTCCTGCGAGCGTTTTTCAACTGCTTCAGATGCGGTCGCAGTGACCGAAATGACACATTCTATGTTCTTCAATTCGGTGTTATTTGATTGCTCTCCATTAGCCCCGGGTTGCACGGACCTCGACCTTCGTGCATACGTTCACCGCCTATATGCATGCTGTATTTGTTACATCCGTCCCCTTGTTTCTTGTTCTAGCTATTTCATGTGACGGCTTTATTTCTTTAGTTCTTTCAATTATTGCTAACCTTGTTATGGTGCTAATTTGGTTACCGAGCTGAGCACTTTGGTTGTAGACGTTTCGCCATCAGCGGAGTTGGCATCTTCAGTGCGTGGTGTTATGTAGCTTGTTTGGAACAACGAGCATCAAACAACTTCTGGTTTGCAGTCTTGCGGTTCTGGTGTATTACGACCAAACTGTGTGGGTACCCGTTGCGCCTGAAGAATGTAAACTGGGTTTCTCTTTCTTTTTGCTCCCGAGGTGTTGCAGTTCGATTTGACTGTACAGAAGAACGTCCGTAACCAGCTTATTTTGTAGCATTTCGAATGTTTGCTGTTCAGGTTTAGAATTTGATCGATATAGACGTCCTTTCCGAAAACAGACGTCTGTGTTTCTCCATCCACTGACCTCGTAACCAGCACGTTTAATACGGGGAGTATGTTTTCGATCTCTGCTTCCATTGTGAAAATGGTTGCGTCTATTTCGTCGTTCAGCGGCATTTGTGTCCTATTCAGCTGACTGCGTTTGAATGTCACAAAAGTGTCCTCTACATGTCGGACTCATGGTTTCGTGTTTATGGTTGGGAGGGTCTATTTGTTAATTGATTCATGATGATCTGTGCAATAAACTCCGACATAGGTCATCCCATTGGAGCTCCTTTTACATGCTCGTAAATCGCACGTTGAATTCAAAGGAGGAAGTGAGACACAATTAGAGAACCTTACATACGTTTTTGGTCATCAAGCTCTCAATGATTTGCTTGTCGTTGTCCAAACGACACTTGTACATTGACGGAGGTGACTTCAAAGCATAACCATATTTCCTCAACCTCATCATCATCTATTCCCATGTCAGTTCTGTAGCCGTCAGCATTCTCCGGATTTACCTGATGATCTGTTGCTACTGACACGTTATCACCACACACTGAAGATGTCATCTCAACTGGTGATAAAACGTCTTCAGCCAAATTGCTCAGCTTGGCGACCATCCACATCTAAACTGCCAGCCAGAGCTACCGATATTCCACGTCAATGCTAGTATTGTTCCTTGTATTATTATTATTTTGGCTACATATGTCAAGGCAATAGACCGAACTGTTCACCACTCTGGTCTTACATTTGCTTTCCGTATTCCGTTTATCGCCGCACAGCCGATTCAGCGTTCACTCAAAACGAATAGCACAAGCATTCGTCGTTTACAACCTTCTTTACCAAGACAGGTATATATTGCACGAATTCACGAAATACGAGGGATTCTTCACTATGGCAACCAGTGTTCACATTTGTTGTCTTCGATTCGATCACTTGCGGCTCCATTTATCTACTTTCCTCATCCTATACGTTGTGTAGTGTGCCCTTGCTCACTCTTTGTCACTCATTATTTACACCTATCCTTCTGGCATACCTCCAACTGCAGTCAATGGGCATTTCCCTTCTGTTAGGTATGCATTCACCGTCTGTTTACAGGCAGTGCGCCATCGGAAGCATGGAAACAACAGGGGAAATGAAAGACATTGTCAAAAGAAAAACCCTTAGATTTGACACGCCATTTTGCGCTTTTTGGGGTTTTATTATTATTATTATCAGCAATCTATAAGATAGAAATAGAGCCAGCGAAAACCATGAAACGGAAGTAATAAATACAGGGTCATATATATATATATATATATATATATTCGATTAGACATTAAAGAATGATGTGGTTGAACAACACTGTCGCCAATGATGTCTGTTACCCGCCATAACCTCTAGCGCTTCCAAACGCTGACAGTTCGAGTCACATGGTCCCCATCCTGGAATACGGGCAGGTCTGACTGATGCTAAGCTTGATGTTGCCTTCTTCATGCTCCCAGTCCAAAGCATTGATTGTCCATCGCGGCACTTTTCCCAATCGCTTCCGGGGAGCGCAAACAGCGCTCGAGGAGAAGGCTATGGGTTGGCATGCGTAATACTTGACTGAGCCAGCGCATGCATTGCAGGAGAATAACATTCTGGAAGCATGGGTTGTTTGCTCCAAGCATTCTGTCTCCCACTTCTGTGCTGCTTACGTGATGTTGCCACCACACTCGAGCAATCCTACACAGACAACCATCGTCAAACTGACAATCGCTTCATGTCTTCCGAACGAATAGCCGTACAAGAGGACCGTACAGACAGAGGCAATGTATCCCCTATCGTTCAGCTTGAGACTGACATTGCGACGACGCCATAGGTGTCTCCTTCTGATGAATGCAGGGTGGGTCTTTCCGACCCGTTGTGAGACCTCATCTCTAACACTGCCGCCAGCCGTGATGCAACTCCCTAGATAAGTGAAGCAGGGGACTTGTTCCAGGACATCACCAGCAATGGTGAGGGCGGACATAGACATCTGCCAACCCTGGAGTAGTGTTTTGCGCTTTCCTAAGGTAAAATACAGATCGTATTTATACGCCTTTATCGTTAAGCGGTTCAAAGCGCTCTGGAAGGCTTGCGGATCGCTCCTAAGCTAAGCGCCATCGTCGGTGTAGTCCAAGTCCGCGACTCTATCACCAGGGATAAGCTCAATACCGCAGTTTTGAACACCTTCCAATGCTCGTTGGATGACATCTTCAATGGCGAAATTGAATAGGAAAGGTCAACTAGGGCAACCTTGGCGAACGCCGCTGGTGACAGCAACCTGATAGGAACTTGTTTTGTAAGCCCTGACTTTGCTCGACGTGTGTGAGTGTAAACTTCCTTCAGGATGGTTACAAACATGTCGGGCACACCTTTCCTTAGTAGACTGTCCCACAGCGCAGATCTGTCTACTGAACCAACTGGTACTCGGATGTCCAAGCGCAGTACCATTGTTGGACGTGACTGAGTTTAAGAAGTCGGCGGAGTGTGAAGATTTGGCCTTTGTAACCTTCACATGGACAAAAACCGACTTGTCCCTTTCGGGGAATGCCCTATATAATCACTTAATGCCCGTAGAATAGGAGAGACACGAAAATATTGAACGCAACGGAGATCAACGAAATTCCGCGGTAATTAGCGCAATCTTCACGGGAGTCTTTCTTGTGAATCAGGACAATTACCGATTCCCCCATGCCATTGGAACTTCCTAATCAGTCTAAACCTGCGTGAACAGTGACAGGATTTCGCTGACAAGTGTATTTCCGCCATCTTCGAATAGAGCCGGGGGTAGGCTGTCAGGCCGAGTTCTTTACTAATTTTTCATAGATTCGGATCTCTGCTACCATCGGAAGATCTGTGGGGACAGGCAACGCACCATCCGAAGGAAACGGAGGTGTCACAGTGGGCTGTGCTGGGTAGTTAAATTGGAAAGTGAAGTGCTCTGCTTAGAGGCTCAAGCGTCTGTGTTAGTTGGTGATTTTCTTGCCATCTGACTCACAAATCGTGAGTCAAGCATGTGAATTGCGACAAGTGGTGCTGATCACATAAATAGCGAAATTTTCCAGCCGATGCAGCGGCTTTCAATCTCAGTAGCTCCTTTCGACCACCAGGATTCACGGTCAGAACTTAGGCTTAACTTCAGCTGTTGAGTGATAGACTGACGGAGTTCATTGTACTTCGCACCGATAGGCACAACCCGTGGACGATCTAGCAGTTCGGAGGATCTTACCGAAATCCAGCTTTTGGCTATGCAGCTGGTGAGACCGCAGCTGGACAAGCCGGCGGACAGCATGGCTTGTTGCAAACTTGACTAGTGTTGCTCGACTTCCAGAGAAGAGGATAGTTTCACGAAGTCTCTGTTAATACTGCATTTTCACCTTTGGGTCCTCCAACTTGTGGGTGTTCAGTCGGGTTTGTTTGGCCCTAGGTGAGCTACCGAAACACATGCAAACTGTCGCACACACCAATGCATGATCGGTTTCAACGTATGTTAACTAAACTGATCGGTAATCTCGAATGCTGCCGAGCCACCTGCGACTTATGGCTATGTGATCGATTTGTGTCCAGCGCTGGATTGATCCTGGAGGACGCCAGGCGGCAAAGTGGCGTCCACGGTGACGAAAAGTGGTACTCGAGAGAAAAGAGACTGAGCAGTCTCTCTCCGTTGTCAGAGTGAATATCATCATACCCATGCGGTAGACTGAGCATTACTGGAAAAGAGAAAATTGAGCGGCTCTGTGGTTGGGCTGGTGACGACAGCTGATAGACTGTGTTGGAATCCTGCAGTCTTGTTTCACTTAGGCAGCAGAAATCGACTGCAAGGGCCTCCGGCGTTCCTATAAGTCCATCTTGCTGTTCGATCGACAATAATGTATGCACTTTAAAGATTGCCATTTTGAACTGCATTCCAGATTGCAGTAGCGACGATGGCAGCTCCCTGTCGTGGACTGTATGGTTGAGTTGACGGATGGAAAGAAAACATCGACTGAAGTGGGGTTGTTCACAGTTGCAGAAGCAGATAACAATGGTGGTGAATAATGCAATAGAAGGGTACGTGACTTATTGACTTGTGTTTGTAAATTTGACGCAATAGCAGGACAATGGATCATCATGAGA